GACCCCCGGGAGGGCCGGGATGGGCTCGGGATTTTGGGATCGGGATTTTGGGGTCGGGGTCGGGATTTTGGGGTCGGGATCGGGATTTCGGGATCGAGATTTTGGGATCGGGATTGGGGTCAGGAGATTGGGGTCGGGATTTTGGGGTCCGGATTTTGGGATCGGGATTTTGGGGTCGGGACTGGGGTCGGGATCGAGATTTTGGGATCGGGATTGGGGTCGAGATTGGGGTCGGGATTTTGGGGTTGGGATCGGGATTTTGGGGTTGGGATCGGGATTGGGGTCAGGATTTTGGGATCGGGATTTTCGGGTCGCGGTTGGGATTTTGGGATCGGGATTTCGGGATTGGGGTCGGGATTTTGGGAACGAGATTTTGGGATCGGGATTTTGGGGTGGGGATTTTGGGATCGGGATTTTGGGGTGGGGATTTTGGGATCGGGATTGGGATCGGGATTTTGGGAACGGGATTTTGGGATCGGAATTTTGGGGTCGGGATTGGGATTTTGGGATCCGGATTGGGGTCGGGATTTTGGGGTCGGGATTTTGGGACCGGGATTTTGGGATCGGAATTTTGGGGTCGGGATTTTGGGATCGGGATCGGGGTCGGGATTTTGGGATCGGGATTGGGGTCGAGATTTTGGGATCGGAATCGGGATTTTGGGGTCGGGAGTGGGGTCGGGATTTTGGGGTCGGGATTTTGAGATTTTGGGATCAGGATTTTGGGATCGGGATTTTGGGGTCGGGATTTTGGGATCGGGATTGGGGCCCCATCCCGCCGCGCACCCGCCGACCCCACAGCGGTTTTGGGGTGGAAAAATCCCAGAGGAATCTCCTCTCGCGGGGATTTTCGGGAGCGGCGGGAGGAGAAGAGGACGCGCTTTGTTCGGGAGCGGGGCCGGGAAGGACAATGGGGCCCTTCTTGAGCCGCCCGCGCTGCCCCGAGGGGGAACCGCCCCAAAAAAAGGGGAACCGCCCCCAAAAAGAGAGCCCGGGGGAGGGGGAGGGGCGCGGATGTTTTGGGGTGCAGTGCCACAGCCATGACCCCAAAAAAAAGGATCCCAGAGTTGTTTTGGGGCGCGGTTTTTGGGGTGCACTTACACTGCCAGCACCCCATAATGGGGTCGCGGAGTTGTTTTTGGGGTGACCTTCATTGTCATCACCCAATAACGAGGTCCCAGAGCTGTTTTGGGGTGACCCTCGGTGCCATCACCCAAAAATGGGGTCCCTGATCTATTTTAGGGTGGGGTTCCACTGCAAACACCCAATAAAGGGGTCCCGCCGCTGTTTTGGGGTGCGGTTCCAGAGCCGTGGGGTCCCAGAGTTGTTTTGGGGGGCGGTTTTTGGGGTGACCTTCGCTGCCATCACCCCATAATGGGGTCCCTGATCTATTTTGAGGCGCGGTGCCAGAGCCATGACCCAAAAAAAAGGATCCCAGAGTTGTTTTGGGGCGGGGTTTTTGGGGTGCATCTGCACTGCTATCACCCCATAATGGGGTCGCGGAGTTGTTTTGGGGTGTCCTTCGGTGCCATCACCCCATAATGGGGTCCCTGATTTATTTCGGAGCGGGGTCCCACAGCCGTGGGGTCCCAGCGCTGTTTTGGGGTGCGGTTTTTGGGGCGCGGTGCCACAGCCATGACCCAAAAAGGGATCCCAGCGTTGTTTTGGGGCCCGGTTTTTGGGGTGCACTTACGCTGCCATCACCCCATAACGGGGTCGCGGAGTTGTTTTTGGGGTGACCTTCGGTGCCATCACCCAATATCGAGGTCCCCGCTCCATTTTGGGGCGCGGTGCCAGAGCCATCACCCAAAAAAGGGATCCCAGAATTGTTTTGGGGCGCGGTTTTTGGGGTGCACTTACACTGCCATCACCCCATAACGGGGTCGCGGAGTTGTTTTGGGGTGACCTTCGGTGCCATCACCCAATAACGGGGTCCCCACTCTATTTTGGGGTGCACTTACACTGCCATCACTCAATAACGAGGTCCCAGAGCTGTTTTGGGGTGACCTTCGGTGCCATCACCCCATAATGGGGTCCATGATCTATTTTAGGGTGGGGTTCCACTGCAAACACCCAATAAAGGGGTCCCGCCGCTGTTTTGGGGTGCGGTTCCACAGCCGTGGGGTCCCAGAGTTGTTTTGGGGGGCGGTTTTTGGGGTGACCTTCGCTGCCATCACCCAATATCGAGGTCCCCGCTCCATTTTGGGGCGCGGTGCCACAGCCATCACCCAAAAAAAAGGATCCCAGAGTTGTTTTGGGGCGCGGTTTTTGGGGTGCACTTACACTGCCATCACCCAATAACGAGGTCCCAGAGCTGTTTTGGGGTGACCTTCGGTGCCATCACCCCATAATAGTGTCCCTAATCTACTTTGGAGCGGGGTCCCACAGCCGTGGTGTCCCAGACTTGTTTTGGGGTGCGGTTTTTGGGGTGCGGTTTTTGGGGTGCGGTGCCACAGCCGTCACCCGAAAAAGGGGTCTCAGCGCTGTTTTGGGGCGCGGTTTTTGGGGTGCGGTTTTTGGGGTGCGGTTTTTGATGTGCGGTTCCACAGCCATCACCCGAAAAAGGGGTCCCAGCGCTGTTTTAGGGCGCGGTTCCACATCCATGGCGTCCCAGCTCCATTTTGGGGTGAACCTGCACTGCCACCACCCAATAACGGGGGTGACACTGGCTCGGGAGGGTGACAATGGCTCCGGAGGGTGACAGTGGCTCAGGAAGGTGACAATGGCTCGGGAAGGTGACAATGGCTCGGGGAGGTGACAATGGCTCAGGAGGGTGACACAGCACTCCCCGATCCCTTCCAGGATCCGCTGAGCGTGCCTCAGTTTCCCCAGACGGAGCTGACAGGGACTCAGGGAGGTGACACGGGCTCAGGAGGGTGACAATGGCTCAGGAAGGTGACAGTGGCTCCGGAGGGTGACAGTGGCTCCGGAGGGTGACACAGCACTCCCCGATCCCTCCCGGAGTTCACCTCCCGTTCCACCCCAAAACGCTCCCGGGGAGGATCCCAAAGTCCCCGGAGCTCATCGGGGTCACCTCAAACGGGACCCGGGACCCCCCGGGCACGATTTTTAATTTTTTAAATTTTTTTTTTTCTGAATTCCCTTTTTTTTTCCCGGTCCGGCCGCATTCCCGCGGCCAAAGGGAGAGCGCTGCTTCCCTCTAGCGGCTCCGGGG